AACTAGGTCATGAGCACTTCCAAATTGTATTACAAATGTAATGTTTAAACTTCGTTTGACTTCCCATAATAATCCCGCAAAATGGAGACAAAAAATAAGAAAAATCGTTTATATATTTTGGAACGACCTATTTCGACGAGTGGTAACTTTCGCTATGGTTGACCGTTTCGCAGCCGTTAGGGATGGGAGAAACGGCCAACCGTAGCGAAAGTTACTATTCGTCGAAACATCCTTCACACATCATGCATCATTGACGGTTGACAGTTACTTCTGTCCTCTTCCATCTCATCGTCGGAGCTAATGACAACAATATTTGACGGTGGTCATTTCTAACATAGTTATCATGATATGAACCGTCCTCGTAAGAGAGCATGAAAGCAAACACGTTATTAAATACCTTGTCCACTAGATTGATCTACTAAGTTGTCCGAATCTATGACGATGGGGAACAAGGGGACGAATTGGGAGTCGGGGGAGTGGAGTTGATGTCGTTGGACATTATGAACATGTACAGCTAGGCTAATTCTTGATAGCTTGTTTAATTCCATTCAAACTGTCGAGAATGATAGATGTTCTCGATAGATGAACGAATAGGCGTCAGAACCACAAAGCGAAATTTTTTTCAAAGTTAGAACTAAGGACACCACAAAACAACATCCAATTGTAAAATTATATATTCGTGCAAAAACTAAAATGTAATTTTCAAGCAAATATATCATATATTAGATGCCAACATACACCATTTTTAATTAAAATAAAAAAATTCATCTAACAAAAGCTTAGTTCCTTGTAAAATAGGAGATTAACATATTACCTTGTATTCCAAAATAAAGTGAAAAACGACTTCAACCAATGCCTCAAGAACTAGCAGTTTGAATTTTTTTTTTTTTTTTACTTCTGTATGCTTCGTTTCAGACTACAAAGAACGCGATTGGTTAGTGTTTTTGTTGAGATAGATTGTGGAATAGACTACCGGAGCTTTGACGGTGACGTGAGTGGTAGTTTTGGAGAGAGAAATTATTTGCTATGAAGGAAGAAAGATATGAGAAATCAAAAAGATGGGGTGGAGGGAGGTAGATTTGGATTCAATTTTCAAATTGGTATATTTTTTCAACATGTCAAATCACTTGTTAATTTAGAACATAAATGGAATTTTGAGAGGGTTAAAAATATCCAAAAAAGGTGA